GCGCGGGCCAGCCGAGCGCACCCGCCTCGGCCCCGCAGCGGTCGTGGCGGGCGAGCCCCAGCTTGCCGCCAGAAGCTGCGCCCGCCGCTGCGTCTCGTGCTGCGGCTCCGCCACGCGGCAGCGCGTTGCGCAGCTGGGCGGCGCGCCAGGCCGCCGTCTCTCAGCACCACGCAACCAATTCAGAGCCGCCAGACCTTCATTGGCCATACGCCGCACGCGCGCCCGACCTCGACGATGTCCAACGGCGACGTCTGCGCCCAGCTCGCGCAGGGGCGGCAGAAGGAAGATCTGCCCGCCGCGCGCGGCCTCTGCTTCAAGGCCAGGGGGCGGCCCCCCCTCGGCCCCGCGCCCGTCGCTTGGACGGGGCGGCGGCTGCCGCGTGGCCGGGCCTGATCTTCCGCCCGCGACCGCGGCCGCCGCCGCCGCTTCTGCCTCCGCCATCCTCAGCGCCAGCGCGGGAGAGACCCCCCTGCGCCCAGCGCGCCTGCCACGTCGTCGCTGCCACCAGCGCTGCGGCCGCCGGCCGCCAGCGTCCGGCCCCTGCCCAGCGCCGCCAAGCGATCGACCTCGCCCCGAGCAGCGCGGTTCGCGAAGTTCCGCAGCTCGGGCGACACCACGTCGAAAGGATCGCTGGTGCCCGTCAGGAAGCGCCCCGCCTCCTACGCCGCGGGCATTCCAGGGGCGACGCCAGGGCTTCGGTGAACGGGGAGATCCCCCGCGACGCCGCCTCCAGGCAGGCCGGGCCGCCGAGGTTCAGCGAGTCGAAGGTGGCCGCCAGCCAGAAGATGGTGAACAGGCAGCTCAACTCACGCCAGGTGCGATCTCGCTGGCCGATGCGTCATTCGCGGCAGAAGTTCGACATCCACATCTCGGGGTCGCCGCCCTGTTGCGTGAACCGCTGGCTCAGAAGCAAGGCCGCCCACGCCCCACGCAGCTCGCAACCTCCCAGCGCCTCCTCATTGCTTCTGCCAACTGCTCGACGCCACTCCTTGAAGCGGACGCCTTGTCGTTCCACTCCACGGCCGGGGCCCTGACGTCCGCAGCCTGCCGCCCGACCTGCCCGCCCCCCCTCGGGCGGCGCGCTGGCGCCTCGAATCCAGCCTCGCCAGGGGGGGGCCGCAGGGAGTCGCGGAGGTCGATGGGACAGTCGTCGGCCGCGAGCAGAGGCTTAGCCGGCTCCGGCGCAGACGCGGCCAAGCGTCGAGCGTTCTCGAACGCCTGGGCCTGCCACGACTCGATGTCTGAGATCGCCGCCCGCTCGCGCGGCGCTGGGCGACCGTCGGCGCGGCAGCCGATCACCTCTGGGCCCGCCTCCACGTCGGTCTCGCTCGGGGACAGCTCGTCGCCCAGGGCCAAACCTCCAGCGTGGAGCTCCGCCACCAGCAGCACGCTCTCGGCGTGCTCGAGCGGGCCGTCGACTAGGACGGGGCGAGTCGACTCCTCGTCGGCCCAGCCCGCACTCATCACCGTGCCAGTCCACCATCGTCGTCGGGCCATCGCCGGGTGTGCGCCCAGCTCCAGAGGGAGGCGGCGGCGACGGCGCTCCTCGCGCGCCAAGTCGCAGCCTTCCAGCACCATCTGTCGCGGGGCCTCGCGCCCCACCTCGGCCTGGAAGCGCACAGCGCTGCCCGTGAAGCCCTCGGGCCAGCCGCGCAGCAGCGACACGTGCCATCGCCAATCCGCCTTCCGCTCGACGTAGCGATCGCCGTCGGGCGCCTCAATCACCCAGCAAGCGTGCCTGCGGTCGCGGTGCACTGGCCAGAGGAGGATCCGCCCGTGCGTCCACTCATCGCCTGCGAACCGCACCAGCAACCGCGCCCCGGGCCGCCTCTCCTCGTAAGGTCGACGTGCTCTCGAGAGGCACGAGGCGCCGGGGGCGGCTCGCCCGCTGCGCTCCAGCGGCCTGCGCCGAAGGCCAGCACCACCGCCAGGATCCAAGGCCAGGGAAGCCACCCCGCGCCTGCGGCCTCCTCTCGGCTCGCCGCCCCGGCCCAGGGTGAGCCTGCCGCCATGAGCTCCCACGCGGGGCAGGGCGGCGGGGACGGACAGCCCGGGCACGGCGGGCAGGGCGCGGGCCGGCAGTCGGGGCAGGGCGGGCAGACCTGCCACAGCCACGCGCGCCAGCTCGCGCAGAACGCCAGGGCCCGCCGCCGCCAGGGCCGTGCAGAGCCCTGCAACCATCCAGCACCGCGGGGCCTCAGGGCGCTGAAGCTTGAGCGGATTCGGGGGCGACAGACCGAAAGGAAACGCCAGAGCATTCCCGCGGTCTCCACATACATTGATGTTCCATAGGCTCTTGAGGGACTTTGGCATGTGTTTCGTTTCGGCCCTCCGATGGCCCCAGAACGGCCCAAGAGAACCAAAAGATCGCCCCAAGGTCGTCCAAGAGGCCTGCAAAATGTCCCCAGAACGGCCCAAGGTACCCGCAAGACGGCCAAGAGGGCCCCAAGACGGCCCAAGATGGCCCCCAAGATGGCCCAGGAGCACGCCAAGAGAGCCCCGAATCGGCCCAGAGAGGCCCTGAGACGGCTTCCGACGGCGTCAGACGGGGGCCAGGAATCTCCTAAGACGGCCAAAGAGGCTCCCAAGAAGACCCCTAATGACCCCAAGAGGCCCAAGCAGGCGCCCAAGATGCCTCCAAGACGCTCCCAGGGAGCTACCAGGAGGCCCCAAGAGTGCCCCAAGAGTGCCCCAAGAGGCTCCCAAGATGCCCCCTCATTTTTCCTCCTCCTCCTCCTCATCCTCCTCCCCCTCCTCCTCCTCCTCCTCCTCTTCCTCCTCCTCCTCCTCCTCCTTCTCTTCCTCCTGATCTTCCCCACCATCCTCCCCAAAATGTTCCCCGAAGTGTTTCCACAACGGCTGGGGGAACACACGGTCCGATAGCTTGGCAGAGCTCTTGTCACAACGCTCGGCCACATGGACGATTCCAGAAGGCAGGGGGCGGCGGTGATTCGTCGGCTTGCCACAGGGGTGCATGGTCTGCAAAATGTAAAGAAAAATATGTTATTTTAGAACTACCTCTGGGGCTTCGCCCCAGCGCGCCGGCCACCCGGAAAGGCGTGCCCAGAGGTAGTGCAAACGTTTTTCCCGCTCCAGATGGCTCCAAGATGGCCCAAGATGGCCTCCAAGACGGCCAAGATGGCCCGCAAGTTCGCCCAAGATGGCTCCAAGACGGCACAAGAGCATCCAAGAGGTCTCCAAGTTTGCCGAAGTAGCCTTCAAGATGGCCCAAGACGTCCCAAGAGGCCCCCAAGAGGTCTCCAGGACGGCCCATGAGGCCCTCAAGATGGCCTCCAGGACGGCTCGAAGAGACCAAAATCATAGATTTCCTTGGGTCGTTGAAGGATTAGGGCATTTGTCTCTTTTCGGCCTTCCGACGGCCCGAGACGGCCCAAGGGCCCCAAAGATCGCCCCAAGATCGTCCAAGGGGCCTGCAAGATGTCCCCAGAACGGCCCACGAGGCCCCCCAAGACGGCTCCAAGACGGCTCCAAGAGGCCTCCAAGACGCTCAAGATGGCCTCCAAGACGGTCCAGAGAGGCCCTGAGACGGCTTCCGACGGCGTCAGACGGGGGCCAGGAATCTCCTAAGAAGGCCAAAGAGGCCCCCGAGAAGCCCCCTAAGGACCCCAAGAGGCCCAAGCAGGCGCCCAAGATGCCTCCAAGACGCTCCCAGGGAGCTACCAGGAGGCCCCAAGAGTGCCCCAAGAGGCTCCCAAAATGCTCCTCCTCGTCCTCCTCCTCCTCGTCCTCCCCCTCCTCCTCTTCCCCCTCATCCTCCTGATCTTCCCCGCCATCCTCCCAAGTGTTCCCCGAAGGGTTTCCACCACGGCTGGGGGAACACACGGTCCGATAGCTTGGCAGAGCTCTTGCTACAACGCTCGCCCACATGGGCAATTCCAAAAGGCAGGAGGCGGCGGTGATTCGCCGTTGGCGTCTTCGATAAAGAGGAGTCCGAGGTGCAACAGAGAATCAGGAATCCAGGGGGGCGACGCTCAGGCCTGGATATCTCACCTGAACCCCTCCTGACGTGCTCCGAAAGGCACCGTGACATGAATCGAAACAAGCATGCGTGCGTCGCTGGATCGGGGTCGGCAGAGGCGGCAGCCTTTCAACTACCAGGTTACATCTACGCAATGAACATTAACCACAGAACGACGCACCGCAGCGCCGCCCTCGCGGCCCACAAAACGCCGCGCTCAGATAACGAGGCCACTGCTCCGACCCGAGCCTCGCGCCTGCCCAGCAGGTCAGAGACACTGAACCCCCCGAACCCTGAGATCGTTGCAAAAAAACCTTCGGCCCTGTCGGCGTGTGGAAGACGCTGTCGTCGCTGTCGCCGTCGCCGTCGCCGTCGCCGTCGCCGTCGCCGCTCCCTTCCGCTCCTACGGGCCCTCCTCTTCAAGAGCCAGCCACAACGAAATTGAGGAACTTCGCAAGGAAGTCGAAGGGAAGCTCGGGGGGGCGGGGGGTGGGGGGAGGGGAGGCCTGGGAGGTGTGGGGGGGGGGATCCTGGGTCAGAATGCCGGCCACCCCAATGTCCCAAGTGGTCGCGGGGGCTGTTCGCCAGCGGGGGCCCTGGGAAGGTCCCGCAATCAGGGTCGGCGGCACTGGCCGCAAGGCCTTCCCAGCACAACATTGCGAAAGTCGCGAACAGAGCCCAGGACCACCATCTATCTGCTGCATTTTTCGAGCCCGATTGATACGTGGTGGTCCTGGGGCCCGAAACGAGGCAAAATCGCCCATTGCGCAAAAATGTGACGCCAGGCTCTCAGGGATGGTCGGGGATCTACTGACCCGGGTCAATCCAGACCCGGGTCAGTCGGGCCTTGCAGGATCCTGCAAGATCCTGCAGGATCCAGGATCCTAAAGGATCCTGCGCCCACACCAGGGTCAGCGCGCCCCTGGCAGTGCAGGATCCTGCAAGATCCGGAGCTCTGGCTGACCCCCGTTTGCATTGACCCCCTCTCTTGAGCCCCGACTCGGAGCAGGCCGAAACGCGCCGGTCCTGGCGTGCGTCTGGACCATACCCTTCACGTCGTCCAGGTCCGAGGCGGCCAGCGTCACCTTCGCGCGCTTGCCCGCGCCGCGGCGCGCGCTGGTGGCGGCTGAACCCTGACACCCTCGCGCCATGGAACAACAACACATCGTGAGGGTTCTATCAATTTTCGGCCTTCCCTTTCTCCCATCCTCCTGCCCCCCGACCCCCATCGAGCCGCGAACAAAAATCACGACGAGAGGTTTTCGGCAATTCTTGGCCTGTGGGTGCCCTCACCAGGCTCCAGGACCGCCAAGAAACGACTGAGGACGAAACGCCAGTCCCACGGAACGGGGCCAGAGCCCTGGGGAGGCACGTTGGAAAGAATACGGCCTCGGATGTCTGAGGGAGGAAAAGACAGGACACCTTGATCGACACGGGACCGTCCAAACGTTGGAGTGGGTGCCCCGAGCTGCGCGAGAGGCAGGGCGAGGACGAGGAGGGGGGAAGACGAAGACGACAAGGACGAGTCACTGGCGACGAGTATGTCGAGGAGGGGTCGCTGACGAGGACGGGGAGGAAGAGGGCGAAGAGTCGCCAGAGGCTTCAAGAGGCTGCAAGCACACCGTCCTCCTCCCTCCTCCCGCCCTCCCTTTCTCCCTCCCTCCATCCCTCCCTCCCTCCCTCCCTCCCTCCCTCTCCTCCCTCCGTCCTCCCTCCATCTCCTCCATCTCCTCCTCCTCCTCCTCCTCCTCCTCCTCCTCCTCCTCCTCCTCCTCCACCTCCCAATCCCCATCCCTCCTGCAACCCATCCTCCCTCGTCCTCTCCCGTCCTCGCCGGCACGAAGGGAAGGATGCAAGGGTAACCTTGGAAAGTCGCTCATCCTTACTTACTACGTGGGTCGACTGTGCACGCAAGAATGACCTGAAGCGTAAGGTGCCTTTGGCTCGTGGCGTTCGGTTGCCGCGGGAAGCCCAATCCGGGCGCCCTGGCCAATGCAGCAGGGACCCCTCTGGGCCCGCGCTGAAGGCCACTCCGGCGGAAGGCCACTCTTACACGTGGACCTGTTTCCGTGCCAGAGGCCCGCTAGGTAAGGTCCGAGTGGATGGGCCCAGAGGATCGCCAATGCATCGCCAATGCACCGGCACCATCGGCGCAGGGAAAGTCGGGCTCCGCATCGGGACACATGGGGAACTCATCGTCGATGCGACGCGATCCTTCGACACCACATACTCGGACCCCGTCTGGGAGGCCTACAATTGCACTTCCGGACATCTGTCGACGTGATCTTCTTCGATAAGCAATGAAAACGCCCCAAGTCTTTTGAGAGGGGACCTAAGTTAGGAGGGCCAATAGCATTCGGGATGAGAGGGTTTGTTTGCATAGGTGTCAGACGAACCCACGATATGTTGAGGGATATATCTGAAAGAGGTGGACCTAAATTGAGCCTCGAATTCATCATGTTATGAGGGTTGGGGGTTCTAGTATGCCCAACAAAAACGAATGCCCAACAACAAATGCTGTCCAAAACCAACAGTGGCCGCACTTGGGTGAGCGCTGATTGTCTTCAGTGCACAGCGTCAACGGCAGCGCGGACCGCGAGCCCAGTTCAAAATGAACAGAAACTGCTGTTGGGCAGCGTACCCACTCTTTCCGCACGGCAAAATCGTGTCGTGCCGAGCGCGGCGCTGTTTCCGTCCACCTCGAGGACCGTTCAACCTTGAACGATCGGCTGTTTCCAAAACGTCAGGTCGTTCCATATCGACCGATTGTGGGTCGCCGGCGGCGCTCAACGTTGACCGCTAGCGGCGGAGTCGCCGTTGGCCGACACGACGCAAGCCTTCAGAGCCTATGTCGATCGTCCCGACTGTTCAGTCCGTGCGCTCTTCCGCGACGCCAGCTGGGGTCGCTGTGGGGCTGCCCGCGACTGGCTGGGGTCGCTGTGGGGCTGCCGGCGGGGGTGACGCCCCCCCGACGCTTATTAAGAAACTCGGCGTACCCTTGATAGGGGGCCACATGCGAACCCTACCCCTACCCCCCACGAATTCTGAGGCAGAGGGTGGGGTTCACTTCGCTCGGGAGCTCCCGAGCGAAGTGATTTCTGAGGAGGAGGGAGGAGGAGGAGGAGGAGGAGGAGGAGAAGGGAGGAGGAAGGAAAGAGGAGGAGGGGTTGCTGTGCTTGTACGACCATCCCATTTTGATTTGTCACACATAGTTAATCGCACGGGGGGGGAAGGAGGAGGATCATAAGAAGGGAAGAGGTGGCGGAAGGGGAGGAGGAGGACGAGGAGGGCGAGGAGGGTGAAGACGAGAAGACTGGAGGAGGATGACACAGGAAAGGAGGGAGGACGTCACCTTATGTATAGTCGGCGACGTCAGCTCGATGATCATTTCCCGCAGCCTCAGGGGGGAAACACCGCAAGAATAGACAGTCTGGGGAGGGGGCACCCTCCTCCTCCTTCCCCTCCTTCTCCTCCTCCTCACGATCATCACCAGGAGCTCGACCACACAAAAAAAAACCAACCCTGAGACCCCAGAATGACCATTCAATTTTGGTGTGGGAACGTCACGCTGTCCGTAGCAAAACCGTCCGATCCCGATGAACCAAGGGCATCCCCGAGGCAAGCAAGGTGGTTATTGGCATGGGTTTCTATTGCAATAATCATCATCATCATCATCATCATCATCATCATCATCATCATCATCATCATCATCAGCATCATCATCAGCATCATCATCATCATCATCATCATCATCATCATCATCATCATCATCATCATCATCATCATCATCATCATCATCATCGTCAGCATCATCATCATCATCATCATCATCAGCAGCAGCAGCAGCAGCATCCATTAGCATCCTCATCCTCATCCTCATCCTCATCCTCCTCCTCCTCCTCATCATCATCAGCATCGCCAGCATAACCAACAACTGCATCATCGCCATAAACTGAATCAGCATCACCCTCATTAGCATCCTCATCCTCATTATCCATCATCATCAGCATCATCATCGTTGTCATGCACCTGCAAATTCATCCTCATGTTCAGAATCATCATCGTCATTGACACGAACATAAGCAACAGCACATCAACATCAGCATCGACATCATCCCCAGCATCATCCTCTGTGTAATCATCAGCATCAGCATCATCATCACCATCGTCTTCATCAACATCGTCACCACCATCATCGTCACCACCACCACCACCACCATCAGCATCAGCATCAGCATCATCATCATCATCATCATCATCATCATCATCATCATCATCATCATCATCATCATGATCAGTATTGTCATCGTCATCGTCATCGTCATCAGCATCATCATTAGCATCATCACCACCATCATCATCACCATCATCACCACTATCATCAGCAGCAGCAGCATCATCGCCGTCATCGTCATCGTCATCATCATCACCATCAGCATCATCAGCACAATCATCATCATCATCATCATCATCAGCATCATTACCATCATCATCATCATCATCCTCATCATCATTAGCAGCATCACCATGGTTATCATCATCATCACCATGATTATCATCATCATCACCATCGTCATCATCATCATCATCATCATCGTCATCATCATCATCATCATCATCATCATCATCATCATCATCATCATCATCATCATCATCATCATCATCATCATCATCATCATCATCATCATCCGCCGCCTCCGCCACCGCCTTAAAACAATCTCTCTCCTGTGTTCCCACTCGCCCTCCCAAACCATCCATCGCCTTCCGCTCCTCCCCTGCTGGGGAACGACAGGAAGGGACCGGCCCGGGGGGAAAACATCGAGGTTGAATCGGCGGCGTATCGGCGATGGGCCCCCGACAGAGTCCGCACGCTGGGACTATCGGGCCCCCATCGGCAATCAAAGGGTCGAGGCATTCCCCTCGTGAGCCGATGCAGCCCACTGATCCTCGCCGTCCGGCGTTAGGCTATCACTCGGGTCTCTGGAAGCCGTTCCGGACGATTCCGGCACACCCGGAATGCTGGCGGCGAGGCACAGACTGCTGGAAAGCATCCCGAGGCTGGAAAGCCTCCGAGAACCGACGCAAACCATACAAAAACCACTTGCATTGACCGCTCTTGGGGTCCGTGCGTCCCTCCCTCAACCGACGATCCATTCTAACATTGCCCCTGACAGTCCCCCCCCGAGCCTCTGCCGCTGCCGCTGCTCCCCGCCACCCCACCCCGCGCACTTTTTTAAGCAAGCTTGTGGGCCCCGCGGACCCGAAAGGTCACTCAGCCTGGGTTTGGACAGGCCCAGGCAGCAAGCGCACTGCCTCCTCGACATCTGAGGCGAGGGAGGTCAGCAGAAACGGCGTGAAGGGCATACCACAAGGCTGTCATCCCCAACCTCAACGTGATCCCGTCCCCCACGACCATGAGCATGCCTTAACGAAGAGCGGAATGGCAACGCATTGGAAGGCAGCAGCAACTACGCCAAGGACTCACGTAGCCGTAGCATGAAAGCGTGCGATGGAGATCCAACTACCGAAGTCAGCTGGAACCCTGGTGAAAAGCAGAGCGATGCCCCTTCCACTCTTCCATCACCACCTCTACCCATAAGAGCAGCAAGAGAACAGGCAGAAACCAAACAGACCCCGCATTCGTGCGCATAGAAAGACACGCGTCACATCCCAACACACGTGGGGAGAGGAGAAAACACAGGAAACAGGTAGACACCATCGAAAAGGAACAGGCAGAGCGGCAACAGAAACTGGGTTTCAATATCCCCCGCCAGGCCGGCCCACCCTACACCCGCGAGCGATTGAACGGACACTCGCGTTACGCGGGGCAAGGGGATACCATCACGAGAAAGGGGCCCTCCCAAAAATCAGAGCCAGCACCAGCACGGTCCGCAGCTGGAGCAGAGGGAACGGGTAGAGGACTAGAAGGGTGGTGAGGTGGAGGCACGAGCAAACGAATATCAATAAAAACATCAAGTCTCGCTCCAGGAAGCCAAGCCCCAGAAATGAGGGCGGAGACACAGCACACACCTTGCTCGACAAAGCCCTTGAGACGGGCGCGAGGTCGATCCAGCCAAGGACCCACCACCAACCCAATGTCCAGCCTGTCTGGCACTCCGGCGAGGTCGAGGACGCCCAGGCCACTGGCATTCCGATGGATGTCTAGAGTCTGGGCCTAGATCAGGGCGAACGAATGCTGCACCGCCAGTAGCCGTCCGGTGCAACGACCAAACAGTGCCTGGTGACACACAACCACCCGATACACCACCCGAGTTAAGCCGTTTGCATGCCGTAGACGCAATCGGGCACGCGTCCGCCCCCAGGCGCGGGCAGAGGCGGCGACGCGGGGGGTCAAGGGCCAGCCGGCCCCTGACCATCAAAAAAAAAAGCCCGAACATGGCCTCGGAGAAGCCCGCGCACATCGAAGCCCAGCCCGCCCGAGCCGACGACCACCAGACCCGCAAATGCGCGATCGACCTTTGCCATCGCAAACGAGTTCCAAGCCTCCCAGTAGCCCCTTGCCCCCCCCCCCCCCCACCACCACCACCGCCCCTAGAATGAGCGCGCACGGCCATGCGCGCGAGTCCTAGCGGGAGCAAGATGCGAGCGAGATACCGTTCTCGCCCTTGCCATTCATCCTGGACCCCTACTCTCGGAAGTGCAGCGCGGGCAACCCGCTGCAGCGCGCGCCCCCGCGACGCCTGCAAGCTGCGACGCCGCGCCCTGCCGGCGGTTCGCAGACTGCCCGCCCCATCGACCCATGACTGCGTTAGCTGCGATGGAAGCCGCGGTTGCGCAGCCGCCGCAGCTGCCCCGCCACGATCAGACGCCCCCAGCACAACGGTCAAGAATCGTGGCTCCGCGCACCCTGGCAGAAAGAATGCCACGCGCCAAAGCTTGCCCCTGCCCCACGTCGGCCGCCCCCAGTAGAAGCGCTTCTGCGCCGCTTGCCTTCGGGCAGCGATCGCCAGACCACGCGCGCGCGCACTTCAACTTTCGCAAGTAAATATTCGGCCAGCTGAGAGCGGCGCCCTGACGCAGCGCCACAGGTCGGGCACAGAGAGCCCCGCGGCCCCTACCGCGCAGCATCTGTCGGGCCGCGCGCAAGCCTGCGTCGCCGAAGAGCCGCGGCGGTTCGCGAAGATCGCCCGCGTTCACGGCGCAGCTGCCCCTCCTGCCTCACACGCAGCCTAGTCGCGCTGCAACCGATGCCCCCAAAATTCCCCCCCCGTGCCGGGGCCTCCCCAACGTCGAGCTCTTTCGCCGCCCAGCGCTGCTCGACCCTCCGAACTCCTGCTTTGCACGCCCCTGGCGCTTCGCACGCGCGCGTGAAATCCCTCGCGCATCGTCCGGCCGTGGCCCGCAGCACGACGATCGAACGAGGCCAACCACGCAAAGTCCCCCGGCGCCGATGCAAATAAGGAAAAATTCATAAACCGTCGCCCACGCACCACACGCTGCAATGGCGCTCGCTGGGCCACCACAGATATCATCGCATCAGAGCGGATGTGCCGTGTCTGATTCGCGGGGTCAGCCTTGAAGTGCGCGGTGGGATGCCAGTCTGGGCGTTTCGGATTTAACTGCTGTCATATATTCACGAGATAGAAGAGGCGCGCGTTGGCGATGACACACGCTAAACTGATATTGGCAGCCATTCCCACGCGGCGCGATCGCGCACCCGTTGGCCAAATCAGATCACTGGCCCCTCCATGTGTGCCACGAGCAACCGCCATTCTTGGACCTGACCCTACTTCACCACGCAGCATGGCGCCCAGAAACTTGGGCGACCTGCACGCGCAAACCTCCGATGCATGCCGCGACGTCCTCATCGAAATCTCGCCCCATTCTTCTAGCTAGCGCCTCAGCCCACTGCGCCATCACCATAAGGAATCTGTATACTGCTGGCCAGTGGCGCTGAAAGTGGAGCGCAGACGTCAGACGCGCCCCCGCGCGCCCAGAAACTTGCGAAGCCCCGCTGGGCGAATCAAGACACTCGCCATCATCGACAGGCAAGTCTAACACCTCGGGGCGTCTACGCCCACGTGAAAATAATTATTGCTCGGCCGCTGGTACCCCAATTCCCAAAGTCGCCCCATACTCGCGACATGCCACGCGCAGCTGTCTGGGGCGGACGAGCAATGGGCACGTTAGAAAACATTATCTGAAAGGCTGCCAAGTCTGGCCCCGCTACCCAACATTGCCAATGCCACCGCGCTGGGACACACAATGCGCGCATCTCGATAGCTCTTTATCAGAAGCGCCAACAAGCACGGCCTGTCCGACGAGGCACTCTGCGCTCCAAGCGGCAGCATGACGAATGTGAGCAAGAGCGTCAGCTGGACCGGTATCACGCGACTGCGGAGAACGAGGTCGCGGCCCCCGTGCCCGTGGACAGCGA